GGTATGAAACTAGAAATCAACTGCAAGAAGAACATACAAAGACATTTTAACACATGGAAGCTAAATAGAATGTTATTAAACAATGAATGGGTCACCGAGGAAATCAAGGAAGAAATCAAAAACTTCCTGGAAACCAATGAAAATGAGGACACAACAATACAAAATCTATGGGATGCAGCAAAAGCAGTTCTGAGAGGGAAGTTTATAGCACTACAGGCCTACCTCAAAAAAGAAGAAAAATCTCTAATAGACTACCTAACCTCACAACTTAAAGAACTAGAGAGTAAACAAAAGAAAACCCCAGAGCAAGCAGAAGAAAAGAAATAGTAAGGATCAGAGCAGAAATAAACGACATAGAGACCAAAAAAACAATCCAGAGGATCAATAAAACAAAGAGCTGGTTTTTTGAAAAGATAAACAAGATTGATGGACCCTTAGCTAGACTCACCAAGAAACAAAGAGAGAGAACCCAAATACATAAAATCAGAAATGAAACAGGAGAGATAACAACTGACCCTACAGAAATACAAAAGATCGTTAACAACTACTATAAAAAATTATACGGCAACAAATTCGAAAATCTAAGCGAAATGGACAAATTTTTAGAAACACATAGCCTCCCAAAATTGGATCAGATAGAGACTGAAAACTTGAACAGACCAATAACAACAGAGGAAATTGAAGATGTAATCAAGACTCTTCCAGCAAACAAAAGCCCAGGCCCAGATGGCTTCACAGGGGAGTTTTACCGAACATTCAAAGAAGAACTAATACCCATTCTCCTCAAACTATTTCAAAAAATTCAAGAAGAAGGAAGACTGCCAAACTCGTTTTATGAAGCCAGCATAACTTTAATTCCAAAACCAGAAAAAGACACAACAAAGAAAGAAAACTACAGGCCAATATCCCTGATGAACATAGATGCCAAAATCCTCAACAAAATACTAGCAAATCGAATCCAGCAATACACCAGAAAAATTATCCACCATGACCAGGTGGGATTCATCCCAGGGATGCAAGGCTGGTACAATATTCGCAAATCCATAAATGTGATACACCACATAAATAAATTGAAGAATAAAAACCACATGATCATATCAATAGATGCTGAAAAAGCCTTTGACAAAATCCAGCATCCATTTCTGATAAAAACGCTCACCAGTGTGGGAATTGAGGGATCATACCTAGACATAATAAAGGCCATATATGAAAGACCTACAGCCAACATCATACTCAATGGGCAAAAACCAAAAGCATTTCCCTTAAGAACAGGAACAAGGCAAGGATGCCCACTTTCGCCACTCCTATTTAACATAGTACTGGAAGTCTTAGCCACAGCAATCAGACAGGAAGAAAAAATAAAAGGGATCCAAATTGGAAAGGAGGAAGTGAAAGTGTCATTATTTGCAGATGACATGATACTGTACATAGAAAATCCCAAAGACTCCACCAAAAGCTTACTAGACTTAATAAATGAATTTGGCAAAGTAGCAGGATACAAAATTAACGTCAAGAAATCGATGGCATTCTTATACACCAATGATGAACTCACAGAAAGAGAAACTAGGCAAACAATCCCATTTACCATTGCGGCAAAAAAATTAAGATACCTAGGAATAAACTTAACCAAAGAGATAAAGGACCTATTCGCAGAAAACTACAGATCTTTGAAAAATGAAATAGAGCAAGATGTAAAAAAGTGGAAGAACATACCCTGTTCATGGATTGGGAGAATTAACATCATTAAAATGTCCATATTACCCAAAGCAATCTATAGATTCAACGCAATCCCCATCAAAATACCAACGGCATACTTCAAAGAATTAGAACAATTACTTCAAAAGTTCATATGGAACCAAAAAAGGCCTCGAATAGCCACAGCAATCTTGAAAAGGAAGAACAAAGTTGGAGGGATCACAATACCAGATTTCAGGTTATACTACAAAGCCACCATAATCAAAACAGCCTGGTACTGGCACAAGAACAGGTATATAGACCAGTGGAACAGAATAGAGAACCCAGAAATGGACCCTAGGCAATATGCTCAATTAATATTTGACAAAGGTGGCAAGAGCATACAGTGGAGTAAGGACAGCCTCTTTAATAAATGGTGCTGGGAAAATTGGACAGCTACTTGCCGAAAAATGAAACTAGACCATCAACTTACACCCTACACCAAAATAAACTCAAAATGGATAAAAGACTTAAATGTAACCCATGAATCCATAAAAATCCTAGAGGAGACTGTGGGCAACAAAATCTCAGACATCATACGCAGCAGAATTTTTACTGACACATCACCTAAGGCAATAGAAACAAAGGAGAAAATGAACACATGGGACTACATCAAACTCAAAAGCTTCTGCACAGCGAAAGATACAATCATCAAAACGGAAAGGCTACCCACTGTATGGGAGAGCATAATTGCCAATGATATATCAGATAAGGGGTTAATTTCCAATACATATAGAGTGCTCACACAACTCCACAAAAGGAAGACAAAGAATCCAATTAAAAAATGGGCAGAGGAACTAAATAGACACCTCTCCAAACAGGACATACAAATGGCTAAGAGACATATGAAGAAATGTTCATCATCACTAATCATCAGAGAGATGCAAATCAAAACAACAATGAGGTATCACCTCACACCGGTCAGAATGGCCGCCATCAACAAATCATCAAACAACAAGTGTTGGCGAGGGTGTGGAGAAAAGGGGACTCTAGTACACTGTTGGTGGGAATGCAGACTGGTGCAGCCACTATGGAAAACAATATGGTGTCACCTCAAAAAATTAAAAATTGAACTCCCATTTGACCCAGTGATCCCACTTCTAGGAATATACCCTAAGAAGCCTGAAACACCAATCAGAAAGAATATATGTACCCCCATCTTTGTAGCAGCACTATTTACAATCGCTAAGATCTGGAAACAGCCCAAGTGCCCATCAGTAGACGAATGGATTAAAAAGCTGTGGTACATATACACAATGGAGTACTACGCAGCGGTAAGAAAGAAAGATCTCTTGTCCTTTGAGACTACATGGAGGGACCTGGAAAGTATCATCCTGAGTGAAACAAGCCAAGCAGAGAAAGACAAATTTCATATGATCTCACTGATTTCTGGAATATAATGAACATAACAGTTTGAGGACAATCCCCTAAGGAGTGGGGAGCTGAGAGAGGGATGAACAACAGAATTTATATGCATATAGGCATGAACAGTGGACATGGACAACAATCGGGGGAAGGGGCGGGGAGGGAAGGGGGAGGGGGGAACCACTGGGGGAAAAAAGGAGAATCATTTGTAACAAAAATTATTCAATAAAATAAAAAAAAAATAAAATAAAATAAAAAAAAAAAAAAAAAAAAAAAAAAGAAAATGGGAACAAAAATTAAGTTGTCAACTTCCAGTGTCTACCTCACTGACAAAAAAAAAAAAGCAAACATATCAGAAAGGAAACCCCTAGTTAATGACAAACACCACTTTGGAACCATCTGTCAGAGAATCTTACTTGAAGATCTTGCCAACTGACCAATCACATGTGTCCTTTCTGGTTACCTGGAACCCAGGGATGTCTCCCTACCACCCTTCTGCATCTTCTGGATGATTCTTCTTGTGTAATTCAGGGAGGACAGGAGAACAACAGGGTCTGCATGGACATTCCAGACCCTATGCAATTCACTTGCTATATTGCCACAAAGGTGGTTATTTTAGTTATCTACTGATGTATCACAGGTTACCTCAGAATTTACTGGCTTAATGTTCTTCAGTTGGTTAATGAAGACATAAACTGTGATATATTCAGATAATGGAATACTATTCAACACTAAAAAGGAATGAGCTATCAAGCCATTTAGCACAAATACATATTATGAAGTAAAAGAAGCCAATGAAGGGTGAGGTCAATGGAGGTGGCAGAGAGCATAAAGGAATAAATGATGATGAAAAAAATTAAATTAAATTAAAAATTATGTGAAAAAGAAGCCAAACTGAAAAGGCTACATACTATACATTTCTAACTATATGACATTCTGGACAAGGCAAAACTACAGAGACCGCAAAAAGATCATTGGGTGCCAGGAGTTAAGGGGGAGAGAGATAAATAGGTGGAGCACAGAGGCTTCTTAGGGTAGTGAAACTATTCTGTATGATACTGTAATGATGGATACATGCCATTATACACTTGTCTAAACCCCTAGAATGTACAACACTAAGAGTGAACCCTAATGTAAACTGTAGACTCTGGGTGATAATGATGTGTCAGTGTAACTTCATCAATCATAACAAATGTACAACTCTGATTGGGGATGATGATTATGGGGAGCAGGGCTATATGGGAAATCTCTGAACTTTCCTCTCAATTTTGCTGTGAACCTAAAACTGCTCTTTAAAAATCTTTTAAGAAATAATCAGTGGCTCAAAACAGCAATAAGCTTTTCTCTTGGTCTTTGAGAGTCAGAAATTAGGAGTGGTTTAGCTGGGGGTCTGACTCAAGGTCTCTCATCAATTTGTAGTCAAGATGTTTGCAGGGGCTGCATCATGTAAAGGCTTGACAGGGGCTGAGGGAGCTACTCCCAAGACAGCTCCCTCACATGACTGGCAGAGTGTTAATGACTGGTGCAGAAATCCTAAATTCCTTACTCCTACAAAAGGTTGCCTGCGAGACCTTACATCAGGGCAGCAAGTCATCCGGTAGGGTGCAAATTGGAAGCTGTAATATCTTTCAGGACCTAGCCATGAAAGTCTCAAACTGTCATTTCCACAATATCCTGTTGGCTACACAGGTCAGCCCTAATCATTGTGGAAAGGGACCACACAGGGGTATGAATACTAAGAAGCAGGTGTCATTGAGGGCAATTTTGGGGGTTGGCTACTGCAGTGCCTTTCTGATGCATGAACCAATACATTACATTAAAGATCTGAGTAAAGAATTTATCCCCCTGTAAAAAAAAGTGTTATATTTGAAAGTAAAATAAAATTTAGTAATAATACTTACAAAATCAGGCTGGGCCATTTGTACCTCCAAGGGAGTTGGAATGGCAGGCTTGGCAATATGCAGATAATGGTAAGATCCAGGAATAATGCCTCCTAGAAGAAAGAGCAAGTTTTTCACATTTTAATTTAGTTGTTAATAAGGTAGGTAACATTATTAACTACTACAGGACAAATGGAGATGCCTATAATGGTGTATGCTACTCAAACTTTCCCACTAAAAGTACTGCTATTAGCTAGCAACTCCCTGGAATGATTGGGCTTTACTTAACAAAATCGGTGAGAATGTACCATTGCACTCCATAATGTAGCCAACAGTGCTCCAAGATATCCCAAGCTGATCCTGGTTATCCTGTGATTTCTCATAACTCTTGTTACTCTACCTGCCAAAGCCACACCAAGATCTTTAGAGTCTTTAAATGTTGCAGTGGTTTTCCCATTCCCCATCACTCCTCCAGTATTTAACCAAAATATCTAAAAAGTGAATATTATGAGGAAAAGCAATAAATTTCTTGTTCACTGTCTTAGAAAGCTATTATTATCAAATTATTAATATTTCTAGTCTGTCCCAGAAACATGAGGCTGACCTAACTCTGGTCTCTGACACCCATCCCTTGTCTTCCTCCTTCCCAAAGTCTCTACTTTTTCTAAGTCTCTACTTCTAAGAATGAGAAGTATAGCAGAAGTTCTCGGAGGCCATTTAGATAGGTAGAAAAAAAGATAAGGTCTGGAATATAGGGCTTTTGTCTTTTTAGTCTGATGTTCTATTTACTGGCTTAGGGTCCATGGACACTCTAAGGGGTCCATGGATGCCTTTGGGTATTAGTCCTCTAACCTTCTGGAAGTGAACAAAAATTTGTAAATATATATTGCATTTTTCTGGAAGAAGGTCTATAACATTCAAAGACACTATTTTCAAAGGTATCTCTCAACTCCCAAACATAAAAAAAATTCTGTGTTTCTTAAGATGCTCTCCTTAAGAGTCAACAGGCTTAGCAGATCAATGTAGACTCTTTACAGCTGAAAATGGTTTGGATTATCCATCCAGATAGCAGCTAAGGCCTGAGATGCTTGAAAGGATCTCTTTATCTCTGAAATTATAGTGAGATGGAAGTTTGGGAAGATGTCAAAGCATTGCTCCATTTTGACCAGTTGTGAGTAATCTCTGGGCAAGTCTCTGATCATACTCCAGTCTGTTTAACCACAGTTACTATATAGTCCATAATAAATGCTAAAAATGCAAACAACCATCACAATAATAATGCCAGGTTCATAATGAATTCTTAAACATTGACAGGGAGCCCTCCTCTGTCTCTGTACAGAGGAGTTTCCTCACCAAGTCTAAGAGAAGGATGGAGTGCTGTCCTGAGCATTGACCCAGATCCTACTGGTGGCTTCATCACGGGTAAGAAGGTGGCCTACTACACACCTTGGATCTTGGCTCCCTTGTACATGGGGATGAGTCGGTCAAGGTCAGCTGGTGGCTCAGTCACAGGCTCAAGGGTTGGATCAAAGAGATTGAGCATAGCTGCTGCCAGTTGAAAGCCAACTTCTTTGGAATTGAAGTTGCTGTGAGTCCACTCATTTGAGTAATACCTATTGGAGAATTTAGTGAGGGAGCCAGCAGCTCTGATGGCTATGTCGTTGGTGTGGAAGTTTGTATCAATGACAAGTCGGCCATCATAAACAAGACATGCATCATTGAATGCTTTAAATGTTTCATAATCCACATTCTTCTCACAGAAGCTGAAGAATATCTACCAAATGAACAATCACATTGTTACTTAGTTATCACTCTTTACATTCCCAAGACTGTAAACAGTCATCAGAACATTTTATTATTGGGAGAACACACAAAAAATCAAAATCTACTAAAAGTTTGTCATAATGGTGTGTGAGGGGGGGAGACTCTGGTATGAAGAACAAATTACGATCACCCAATATCACTCTTTTATTTGTTTTATCATTCAAACTAGACATCCAGTAGAGAGAAGGATGCCAAATGATGGAATAGCTACCAATAGAGTCCGTATTTTTTCCCCACAAGGAGGTTTACAGTTCATAGAGACACCACTTTCCGTAATCCTCCAATATTTTAAATATTTCAGCCTCCTTCCATATTCCTTTTCCTCATCCTGTGTCTTGACACTTAGGCCTCTCTAGGTTCCTTCTTGGAGTCACCTCATCTAATCTTGAGTCTTCAAATTGCCCCATTTCTGGCCTTTTAAACCCACAAACCTGACCTGCAAGATGCCCCTGAGAAGATGAGAGCCCCATCAGACTCAGCATTTACCATGTCTGGGTTCCTCCCTTGGTGCTTCCTGCTCTGGAATGGTACAAAGTCATTGAATAAATATTTATGGGCCACCTACCATATGCCAGGCACTGTGCTTTAGAAGGGTCACAAAGCCCTCTGCATACTCCCTAGAAGTGATCTCTATGCTCCCTCCATTCTCTGCCCAGATTTTAATGATTTCTCATGCTCATCTGAACATCTTCTAAGTTGATGTTGAAAGTCATTAAAGTAGTCCAAGTTAGTTGTTTGTAAGTCGTCAGTTGTTGAAACAGTTGAGATAAGTTCAATCATTTTATTTTTACCTAAATATAGTTTGCCATCCTATTTAAAGCATGCTAAAAATAAACATATGATGTAAATCCTCATCATACTGATGGCCACCTCCCGTTTTCCTTCACATGCCTGCTTTAGCCACCTCACTTGTCCTGTTTTGTACAAAAATCAGCTGTTCTGGGCCAAAACCTCTCTTTCATATCCCTTCCCCACACCCATGAATAATCCTGTGGTAGAGACTAGTCATGCATAGCTATGCATATTTAAATCCAAATGAACTAAAATTAAATAAAATTTAAAATCCAGACTCAGTTATACTGAGGTAGGGTGGTAAGAAGCTAGGAAAATTTCTAGGCAAGTGGAATGAGGAAACTGAGGCAAGCCAAACAATTTGAACAACTTACAGCTAGCTAGTGAATCGTAAGAACCTATCTTCCCTAGCCAAGGACACTTAAAAGCAAATGGTTTATACCTCTCCTCCTTAACCAGAGAATACAAAGCTTAAATCACCCTGGTCAGGGACATAGGGGACAGAGACCCAATTAATACCATTTGTGTCAACTGAACCCGAGGACGGAAGAAGTCAGGGGAACAAATAACAAAAACCCGATTGGAGCCAGATAGATCCAAGATAAAAGTAAGGCAGTAAAGCAGATCAAAGAATAATCCCAAACTCCTCTACACTAATTTTAATACATCAGAATATTGAAAACACACCTGGAAAGATAATAAATATTCTACTGAAAACCTCCTCTAAGATTCTCACTTGCAAAAGAAAGATAACAACTCTCAAGACAAAGACTCAGTGTGGGCTCACACTAGAGCACGTTCATGCCCCTTCTTGGCATGAACATTTTATTTTCCTCTAAATTCTAAGTGTCTCCACAAGACTTGCAATCAGGGGAGCTCCTCCTGGGCTCACCCTTTGATCCTCTCTTTAAGGCCCTCTTTTTCTCTGATTTTCTGGTGAGCTAAAAGCAGCCCCATCTTGGCTTACTTCTTTCCCTGTGACCTTTACTTCCCAGTGAGCTAACAGCAGCCCTGCCTTGGCTTACTTCTTTCCTGTAACATTTCTAGGAGACAAAGCAGAGCACTGCCTAGGCTCTCTTCTGTTGCTTCTTCTACCCTAAGTCCTTCCTTTGTTTCACTGTCCCCAGCTTTAATAAATGTCCTCTCAAAATCACCTGGACTTGTGTTAGGAAATCTTTCCTACACGAAGTCAAGAACCCACACACTACACTGAGGCAGACCCACTCCAGGCCCTGGGGGTCCTGTCCAGTAACAGTAATAGCTTATTCCCAATGCTAAAAAGCTACAGATGTCTAGTTGCTGCCATACTGGACAACACAGATATTGATCATTTCCATCATCAAGGAAAGTCCTATTGGACAGTACCAGACTCAGATCCGTCATCTCAGTAATGCCTTTTATTCTCCCTCAGGGAGCCAACAGGATTTTTCTCCTTTTCTCTGCGTCTGTTCACACAGCTCTGTAACCCTATCCCAGTTACTCCTATCCCAGTCAGCTTCTTTCTTTTGAATCTCTTAAATTCTTCCTGTTTTATAATTCTTACTCAGTGACCACAGAACAAAAAATATTTTTCTGAGTCTGTCTCTGACTGAGTATCTCTATTTTCTTACTCTTCTTTTTTCTTTCCTATACTCCTTTCCCATCTATATAAAAATAAGTTTTCTCATTCATATAAAAATATAGACATGTAGCTAGGGTTTCAGCAGAGCTAAAATCATAGTCAATATCTAGAGTTTCCTTTCCATGTTGGAGCAGAGTCCTGTCCAGCATCAGGCTTGCATAGCTTGTGTTCCCTGTTGCAGTACATCAGCGTGTGGTGTTTGCAGAGTCACATGGATATGGAAGAAACACAATGAATGCAAGGAAGCAGGAACAACAGAGCCCCACAAGTCAATAGTCCAGTGCACAAGAGAACTCCTTTGTTTAGGAGATTGTGTGTTTCCAAATTTTCATGGGCTTGCAGTGGCCACACCCATTCTGGCCAATGATTTTTGTTCCCAGATATGACTTACAGGCAAGTACCTTGCTATGTCACCCCAACTTGATTGGGCATGTGTCTTTCTTTTTTGGATCCCTTCTCCCAGTGTTTTGCAGGGGGATAAGCTGGTAGTTCCCCAGGGAGTACAAAGTTGCAGCTTCCTTATGAAGCTACCCAAACAATATGCCTATGTCTGGCTTCCCCCTTTTCTCCTTTCCTTCTATTAATAACAAGCTAATTTCAACACTATCAATCTTATTTCTCTCTTTACAATTCACATGGCTTTTATTGCTTTTGCCTCCTTAATTATTCTGTTTGGAACCTCCAGTACAAAGATACACTTGTTTCTTATATGAAGGAGAAAGTATTCAGTTTTCCATTATTAAGTGTGACATTGGCTGTGGAATATTTTGTAGAAGCTTTTTACTAGGTTGAAAAAGCTCCCATATACTTTATTTTGTTGAGTGCTTTTATCATGAAAGAGTATTGGATTTTATCAAACCCCTTTTCTATATCTATTTAGATGACCACGTGTTTTTGTCTTTTATTATAGTAATATGGTACAGTGATACCTCGGTTCTCGAACATAATTCATTCCAGGAGGACGGTCGAGAACCAAATTGTTCGAGAACCGAAGCAATGAAACCCAATAGGAAATAATGGAAACTGGATTAATTCGTTCCAAGCCCCAGAAAATGCCTATTTACTGGCCTAATTTGTATATAATATGTAGAAAAACATAAGTCTCAACAAGAAATAAAAGTGTACAGTATGTCTAAGGGTTAAATTCAGTGTAAAGCGTGACTCTCTCCACAAAGCGTGACTCTCTCTCTGCACTCACACTGATGACGCAAGCAAGGCGCGCTGGGCCGAATGAATGCCATTCGGCTCAACTCGGCTCATCTCGGAAGTTCGAGTTCCAAATATTTGTTCGGATTCCGAGACAAAAGTTTCTCGAATCTCCTGGTCGAATACCGATTTGGTCGAAAGTCAAGGCGTTCGAGAACCGAGGTATCACTGTATATTGCACTGATTGAATTTTAGATGTTAAATCAACCTTCTCTTCTTGCAAAAAACTCACACCTTAAACAGAATTCATTTTTTTTCAATTATTTTATTATGACATGGACTTATTTTCAAAATATTTTCCTTGAGGACAGACTTACAGAGTTTTGTTCACTTATTTTGTTTAATTGAAACCCTCTTGTGTTTCAATTAATTGTGAGAGTAGTCAGTGACAGTAAAAGTCTTCAAGATAGAAAATTTTTATTTTCTTTTATTTTAAATTAATTAATTAATTTTGGAACAGATGTTTCTCCTTTTTACCCCACTGATGGAAATTAACCCCTTATCTGATATATCATTGGCAATTATACTCTTCCATAGAGTGGGTTGCCTTTCCATTTTGATGATTGTATCTTTTGCTGTGCAGAAGTTTTGAGTTTGATGTAGTTCCATGTGTTCATTTTCTCCTTTGTTTCTGTTGCCTTAGGTGATGTATCAGTAAAAATTCTGCTACGTATAATGCCTGAAATTTTGTTGCCTACAGTTTCTTCTAGGATTTTTATGGATTCATGAGTCACATTTAAGTCTTTTATCCATTTTGAGTTTATTCTTGTATAGGGTGTAAGTTGATGATCTATTTTCTTTTTGCATTTTTCCAACACCATTCACTAAAGAAGATGTCTTTACACCCCTGTATGCTCTTGTCCCCTTTGTCAAATATTAATTGAGCATATTGCCTTGATACATTTCTGGGTTCTCTGTTCTGTTCCACTGGTCTATATGCCTGTTCTTGTACCAGTACCAGGCTGTTTTGATAACAGAGGCTTTGTAGTATAACCTGAAATCTGGTAATGTGATCCCTCCTACTTTGTTCTTCTCTTTCAAGATTACTGTGGATATTCAAGGTCTTCTTTGGTTCCATATAAACTTTCAAAGTATTTGTTTTAGTTCTGTGATGTATTGTTGGTATTTTGATGGAGATTCCATTGAATCTCAAGATTGCTATGGGTAATATGGACATTTTATTTTATTTATTTATTTATTTATTTATTTTTATTGATTAATTTTTGTTACAGATGTTTCTCCTTTTTCCCCCACGGAATCTCCCCTCCCCCTTTCTCCCTGCACCTCCTCAGATTGTTGTCCATGTCCACTGTTCATGCATACATGCATAT